CCATCACTACCACAAATATCGTTACTACAACAGTACATCTACCTCATTACTTACAGCTGTATCAGGATACTTTCACAAGCCATCGTTCCATCACAGTGCACCTTGGCATCGCCAAAACAACCTTTTTATGGCTGTATTTCATGGCAATCTTCCGACGGTTGTTGTCGTCATCGAAGCTAAATCCTCTGCTTTCCTTCTTCGTAATTTTAGTAAAAAAGGCGAGAAATGTCACACTACCGCTATTACGTGAATGTTAGAAAACCACAGAACTATGCAGAATACAACGCGACACTCCGTGATAACAAATAATATAACTAAAATAACTTTCTAGGTGCCGTTACTTTTCGTTTGTGCAAAATGGTTAAATGCTTCTTTGCTCTAGTTACACAAAAATTTCAAAAGAATACAAGGAAAAAAGTGTGAAAAATGGACCTCGGTATATCCTGAGATGATGACGATATTCCATAGAGGAAACAAAAAACACCAACGACAGAAGCAGGAAATAAAACTTTGGTATAATAACCTAACCAAGCAAAATACATACCAACCTTCGAGCCAAAATATTTCCTGTAAAACTTTATTTGAAACAATTCGAATAAAATGAGTAGCGTTGAAAAATTGAAAAAAAAAAAAAAAAAACAACGTACAGCACTCGTCCATGCACAAGTATATTCATAGCTTCATTCAAAAAAAAAAGCTACTAAAAGCCATATTTTTTCAAAAAAAAAAAAAAAAACTAATAAACAAGTAAAAACTGATACAGTTGATAAAAAGGTAATAAATTTTCGAATGCCGGAAGAAATATTCTTTATCGTAGCTTATCCCGGACTTGCTAACTGGCAAAAATTCGCTTTTTCACTCACTCCTACTTCAATCTGCATTTTTCTTTTATCATATTTTCAGCCGGCACGCATGGCGTAGTGGGAAATAGTACTGCTAAATCGAGAGATTTACTCCGCCAATGGGGACAAATCAATCCCTCAACAACTCGTTCATTCGTTTCGATGGCAAATTGACATAAGCATATGTCAGTGAATTAACTTTGCCATCAGATTGCTTACAAGTAACCTTGGAAAGAGACGGCCATCGATAGCCATGTCAGTGTTTGGAAGCTTTTGGCATCTGCTACTACTCGGGCTAATTTCCAAGGCCTGCGCCTCTCACTGAATGTGGACACGAAGGAAATTTGGACTTGCTACCTAAAACAAACATGTTTTTGAGCCTTTCTTTTTTCTTTCTCATGGACAAAATTCAGGCTTTTTGAGGAAACAGAAGGTATAAAAAAAGTCGAAAGTGACATACTTTACTAAGGAAAGGGGCTGATATTTGTAGAAACTTTTTATTCGTGCCCAATTCCAATACAGCAACTCGCGGTCAGTGCTATCCTCAGCATTCACTTTGTTCCAGTTGCATTCCTGCAAACTGTTATATTACACATTTGCAAAAATATCAGAAAATTTAGGCTCATCTCAATATTTCAATTCTCAGAGCCACAAAAGAAATTAATAAAGAGCTGGTTAGCTGATTAAAGTCCGCACGAGGGTGGGAGGAGGCGGGGGCGAGGCGGGAGGGGGAGGGAGTGAGGCGGAAGAAGGAACGGAATTATAGAGTTTCAGAAATTTTAAAGATACAAACAGTGAATATCCCTGGCTAGAAGACTGAAAAAGGAAGGGGATCTGAAATCTTTTATGTGTTAACAAATGCAGTTCGCTCGGCGCTGTTGGCCCATCGTAGAGAGGAACACAGTCGGATTAGTGAAAATACTGGAAGTGGCATTTAGATCTCCCAAATAAGCAAGCCTGTACGTGCAGTGACCTGGTAACCTGTAGAAGTAACCTGATATAAGTAGCGAAGCAAAAAATTAGCTCGATGCATCAGTGCTCACCTCATGAAGTGGAAAAGCCGCAACGTAGGAGTTATTTTTGATCAGTCGTTGTATGCCAACTCGATACTTTGCAGCATCATGCGCATCGTATTTCGTTCGAATCAGCAGATCATACACTAAACGACTCCTTTCCGAACTGTCAAAGAATGTATCTTGATTTTCATGACCCACATAGCTGAAACAACATGGACTTAAACATTTCCGTTTAGTAATTTTAATTATTTTTCGTTTCTGTCATTTCTTAATACACACAGATTCCACTCATTATTTTCGTTTGATTTTAAATAATCCATTTTGACTGCATCTACTATCTTTTAAAATTTTTCTTCAATCAAGATGCTTGAATAACAAAAGTTCTTGTGCCTGTTTTAGCAGTCAAATGCAAGTTTTACTATTCTATTTAGAAAAAAATTACGTGGTCGCCTTCTGTATCAGGCAGCTGCGGAACGACGTTTTTAAAAAGTCTGAAAAACTGTCTCTGGGCACAACTCGTTCGCCGAATGACGATCGCAGTGAAGAAATCTGAGAAAAAATGCTAACAACAAGCTAAAGGACTGCATAAAGGCTAAGAATTCGAATCAACGAGAATTTCTCTGAAAAGCTGAAAAAAAAAAATGTCAAGAAGCGGAAATAACGAACAAGAGCAGACAGGGAAATCAGACGATACTCTTCGAACACAGCATCCCAGGGAAAGAGGATTTCACAAATGTGCTGATGCCACCAAGGAGCGATGAAGAAATAATTGATGATCAATGTAACAAAGTGAGGATTTGTCGAATACGGATGTTTGAAACAAGGGCCGGGTATGGTCAGGCAGATTAATCTCTGCTAGAGGAGCAAAACAGTTCTTCGCGCCTTCAGTGCTGTTGTGATTTTAAAGCAAATCCGAGAATTTTACCAATCCAAATGAGCAGCAATGAAAGGAGCCGTAAAATAATTGGGCTGACTCAAGCGTTCGTTCATCTTCTCGCTAAATGTTAAAAAACGGAATCGCTTCAGGAACTTATCCAGCACCCCCTCGAAAACTGCTCGTTCCTGAAACAAAAGCAAATATTCTTTAGCAAGAAGCACTAAATGTTTATTGCGATCAATATTTTTCTGCAAGTTTTTTCTTTAATTTTGTAGTTTTTTTCCTTTTTTTCAGTCGGCCAAATCATCGACTGTGAGTGGTAGTATTCAAGATGAGGTGATGCTTCTCAAAACAAATCAAGGGCATATCAAAATGGTCAAAGCTTCGCCAACTGATTCTGTTGGTGGACAACAACTTCTTCAGAAGACGAAGGAATAAAACATTATCAGTAAGCTGAGCACCGGGCAATGCAGCGCTGGTCAAAGCAATTAGAGAATTTGCGATGCACAGCTGGGGACGCATGTTATGAAGGAGTCGAATCATCAAATCTTATTGTTATCAAAGACTCCATGGCAGGGTCGCATATGGAAATCACCCTCTTCGATGATCCTATATTAATAGAAATTTGGGTATCGAAGTAAATATTTTTAATCTGAGTATCGAAGCAAATATTTTTCAAATGAAAATGTACGTGAACTGGGGATGCTTTCAACACACTGATGAAATGTTTCTCAACAGAACCGATGAAGCGAAAGTGTATTCCAGTGGCCTTAAGGTCACATTCAGAATTCCCTTCATATTCACCGTCTATGAAAAGAGGAAGCAAACAGTCCGAAGTATTCCATGGGTAGCAGGTACGAGGAGCAACAGAAGTTGACAAGGCTGTCGATGGCTTCTTCTTTCGGTGGTTGCTCAAAAACAAGCTAATGGCGATTTTGATGCCCTGGTGTATGCCTATATCAATTTACCGTCCTTACAAACTGCAAAGAGACGCACACATAAAAAACCCCTTGCCAATATGCATTTTTGCATTTGCAGCAAACGTGCAAAAATGCACCACAAGTAACTCTGGCAGAACCACAGATAGAGTTCTAAAAGAACGGACCTTGACGTCGCTTTGGAGTACCGGCATCTTCAACGAGAGACTTTCGGCTTGCTTCATTAGCAGAACAAACGGTGCGTGCACGAGCACAAAATTCGTCTTTTTACAGTGCTGTAATAATAAAAATCTTATTTGCTTGTGAGACTCAGAAAAACCTTCACCTGTCCAGCGGGCTGTTTTCCTAAATCGATCCGCTAACATCTGTTGAACTATTACTGAAACTGATTTTTGGCAATCGAACTGAGTCCCGGTCTTTGTTTCTTCCCTCAAATGCAGCTCCGCTCAATTCCATCAAACGACACGAACCAACGCAGAAACACTCGTCTTCGCATCTTGCATAGGAGCACATGCTCAATTTTCAAGGTCCTAATCTAGCATCGCCTGTATATTGCAGTACCATAGGCTATTCCTATTTTTGGCAGATAACTTACTGTGTTTGGGATTTTGGGCAGCCAGTGCTACGTAGATGCACAATTTCTGCACAGCGTTATAAAATAGAATGTTGCAGAAGGAACAAATGGCAGATGTGATTAAGGGATAAAGATATACGATCCCCTTTTCTTTAGCTCAGCTGTCCTACGCTCCCATGCGTGATACGTAACTGTTTTGCTCCCAGAATCGAACATAGGCGGATCCATGATGGCCTCTTGGGCGGGGGAAGGGAGTGAGAAGTGTGGCTAATAATGTGGCGACGACCGGGGGGGG